CAGTAGATACGCTGCCTGGAAAATAAAAATAAAAATATAGAGATGGTTAGAATAATGGATAATATATATACATACATATATATATATATATATATATATATATATATATATATATATATATATATATACATATATACATACAGACACACAGACATATATATATATATATATATATATATATATATATATATATATATATATATATATATATATATATATATATATAAATATATATATATATATATATATATATATATATATATATATATATATATATATATATATATGGGTTTGGGCCTATGCAGAACTAAGCCGCGAGCCGCACCATGATTCGTCGCCCAGTAGAGGGAAGCCAGAACGAAGCTGACCTGAGACCCGCGCCGTTGCCTTATATACCAGCGAGGGCCTCCCCCGCGGGCCAGGTCACGCCCGGAGCCGGTCCTTCGGATGAGGCAACGAAGGGGGATCCGGGTCGGGCCCCGCCGGCTCCCGAGGCCAGGGGCAGGCAGTATGAGCAGTAGCTTCAGGGCAACAATGCTAACAATAATGAGAATAGTAAGAATAGGAATCTTAATCCTAATAGTGATAACAAAAACAACCATAATGATTATAATACTTCTAGCGATATATATTATGAGAATGACCAACGTTTATGACGATAATGATGATGGTAATCATACCGGACAATAATTGCAATAGCAATTCTAATTAGTGTTAATCAAAACAGATATTGATATCATAGACTGATAAAATATTGGCAATCACTATATTCATGATCATACTGATAATAATGAACTAATAGCATTGTAAAATACTAATTAAGATAAAAAATAAAAATAGGGTCATCATTAACTGCATTGACAATGATAGGGACAAACTATAGTATTAATGATAGTACTGATAGTGACAGTGATACTGAATGGTGTATATATGATAATAATGATAGTCGTGTATATGATGTTACTGTATTAGAAATAGCATTAATGAGAATGACAACAATAAAGAAAATAACAGCAATAATGATGCTAATGGTAATAGTAATAATAATGATAATAATAACAGTAATAATAATAATAATGATAATGATAATAATAATAATAAAATAATAATGATAATAATAATAACAATAATAATAATGATAACAATAATAATAATAAAACAAAAACAATAATAATAATAATAATGATAATGATAACAACAATGACAATAATGATAATGAAGGGGATGTTAATAGCAAAGGCAATGGTGATAATGACAATGATAATGGTATCAGTACTGCTACTACTAAGAATTATAATGATAATGAAAATGATAATATCAATGATAATGATAATATTAGTAATCATAGTGATGATAATGATAATAGTTATGATACTATTAATGTTGATAACAATAGTAATAGCAATGATAACGATGATAATGATGATATCAATAATAATAATGAAACAGTATTAATAAAAACAACAATAATAATAATGTTGCTGCTAATACTAACCGCAATTATAATAATAACAAAAATACTTCTGCTAATGATAATTATAATAATAATAATAATGATAATAATAATAATAAAAACTAATAAAGATACCAAAATGATAATCATGATAATAATAATAGTGACAACAGTAATGATGATGAAAATAATGATAAAGATAATGATGATAATAATATTTGTAATAAGATAATCATAATAATGATAACGATAATAATACTAATAAAAACAATAATACTGATAGTGATAATAACAACATTATTAATAATAAAGATGATAATGACGAAAATAATAATGAAAATAATAACATTAAAAATAATGGCACTAATGATAAGGATAATCATGAGAATGACAATAATATTAATTATAATAGTAATAATAAAACAGAAATGATGATAATAACAATAAAGATGATAATAATAATAAAAATGGTGATGAAAATGATAATGATTATAATGCTATGAATAATGATGATAGTAATGACGGTAGTAGTAATAATAACAATGATGATTATAATTATAATGTTGATAAGGGTAATAATAATAATAACAATGATTATGATAATAACAATAATGAAAAAATAACAGCAACAACAATAATAGAAATAGTAATGTTGATAATGATTATGACGTTCATGATAATAATAATAAAAGTGTTCATATTAATAAGAATAATGATAATAGTGGTAAAAAATATATTGACAATGATAATAATAATAAATGATAATAATGATACTACTAATACCAATAAAAATAATAATATAAATTGTAGTAGTTGTAGTAATAATAATAGTAATGATAATAATGATAATAATAATAATAATAATAATGATAATAATAATAACAACAACAACAACAATACCAATGATAATAATAACAATAATGATAATAATAATGATAATAATATTAATAATAATAATAATAATAACAATAATAACAATGATAATAATGATGAAAATAATAATGATCTTAATAAAAATAATTATTTTAATATCAATAACCATAATGA